TGAGACAATTACAAGTACTACCTGTCTCACCTGTTTAGCCTTTTCCTTGATTTTCAAAAATATTTTCTGGTATCTATTATTGTAGTTAGTAATGTTAGTAATGATAATTATGATGTCTATAATAAAAATTGCAGCACTGATATTGATAGCATTACGTAAAAAAAAAGTGTTTTCCCCATAAATTCAAGAAAAGGTGAGGTCACAAGGTTTGTTAATTCATTCCTTTGTGACTAAGCACTTGCAGAGTCATCTATGTGCAGGGACATTTCTTAAAGCAATACTACAACACAACATTTTCCTGAAGATTTTGGGTTAAACTAACGCAAAGTAAGTTTCTTACCTCTCCGATATGGCTCAATAAGAACATCTGCGCCTTTGCATAATTTCTTGACAATCCCTATTCCTTCAGGTTTCTTTAAGTCGACGGCAAGGGAGCGCTTTCCTCTGCATAGCCTGTCCATATCTGGTGATTTGGGCTGCAAAAATTGAAGTCAAAAGAGGCTGTTGGGCAAAATTATGTTTAATCTTGAAAAAGGGTTTAGACTTGATCAGATTTTAAGGTCTATATTACCTGTATTGTTCTGTAAGTCATTGCAGAGTTTTGATTACTGTAATTGGATTGTAGTTTATAATTGTCCAAAAATGTGCATAGACAAATATAGGTTGAATAATCAGGAAAAAATGGAAGATGAGAAGGTGAAAATGAAGGATAAGAATGGGGAAGATGAAGAAAGGAAGGAAAAGGATGAGGAGGCAGAAGAAAGGAAGATAAAGAATGAGAGGGTAGATGAAAGGAAGAAAAATAATGAGGAGGTAAAAGAAAGGAAGAAAAAGAATGAAGAGGTAGAAGAAAGGAAGGAAAAGGATGAGGATGTAGAAGAAAGGAAGGAAGATGATGAGGAGGTAGAAGAGGAATAGGAAAAGGAAGAAGAGGAGAAGGAAAAGAAAGATGAGGAGGAAAGGAAAGAGAAAGAAGAAGAGGAAGAACAGGAGAAGGGAAAGAAGGAAAAGACAAAAGAGACAGAAAAGGAGAAAAAGGAAAATTCAGACAATCAGAGGGAGAGCTCTCACCTTGTCAACTCTGATGACACTAGCACCAAAGTCAGCCAAAATCTTTCCACAAAATGGCGCAGGGGCTAAGCCGGCCATCTCCACCACTTTCACACCGCGAAGTGCCATCCTGGAAACAAGTCAGCATTATGAACTAACCAAACTCTTAATAGGGTTGAAAAAAATCTAGTGTTCCCTTTTTTGAAAGCTGAAAT